GAGCCTGTGCGGCCGCGGCCCGTGGCCCTCGCACTGCGGCCTGGAGCGGTTCGTCCTCTTCGACCGGCCGTTTCCGGGCCCTTCGGCGCGGCTTCCGCTCCAGTTCCGGAGACGGCCCCGCGGGGGTCGGGGTGCGGCCCGCGCAGCCTTCCCGGGCGCGTGGGGGTGGGGGTAGCGCCTCCCCCCCCGACCTGGGGTCCCCCTGTCAGCGACCCCCCTTTCTCTCTTTGCGGCCCTGGACCAGCCGCCCAGCGCCGCGCTGCATGGCGACCCAGGCGTGGCCTGGGTGTGGCCGTGCTCCTGCAGCCCAGGGACAGGAAAATCTTGTTGACCCGAAGGACTCGCAGGTGAGGACTGGGGGGCTAACCCGTCCGCTGGAGAGGGGGTATGAACTTTAATGGGGTCCCCTCATCGCCCTGCTTTCTTGCAGGTGGAGCTGGAGGAGGAGGTACGGGACGTCCCTCCCCATCTGCACCTCCCCGAGCCAGAGCTACCGCCTTGAGTGCGGGCTGAGTGAGGGCTTCGGGGACTTGGAGTGGGGCTTCGGCCACCTTGACCCCCAGCTGCTCGATGGAGGGCTGCGGGAGGAAAGCGGACTATGTCTTCCCCATGGCCAGTTCTCTTGGCCCCGCTGGGGTTGTGGGAGATGAGAGGGGGCCTTGTTTACAACCGCCCGCCCCCCACCCCCAAGTCCACCAAACAGCCCCTGCTGCCCTGGCCACCGGGAATACGGCACCTCCAAGTACTCTCCTGTACCCTAGCTACCCTTCCACCTCTCAGATTAGGGGCCCAGCAGGTTTCACCCTAAATCTCTCTTTAGGAAAGTGTCATAAACACTGCTGCTGGTCTCCCCGGAGTACCAGCCGCAGCTGCAGGTAAGCCCGGCGGGTGGATGAGAAAGAGATCTGGTCACGAGCCCAAACCACCTGGTTCTACAATTAAGTGCAAGGTGGGAGCTAACCTCACCTGTGTCCCCAGTCTCTTCACTCCACCTGTGGGCAGGCCGTGATTAGGAAAGAGACTTCAGGAGAGGGTCAGCGTTATCTATTCCCAGGCCAGAATCCAACCAGACCCACAGAAGGTAAGTGCCATCGTATGGCTGGAACCAGATGTGGCAGCTGCGGTCGCTGCCACGGAGGATGGGACAGAAACAGCGAGCTGTCTCCCAGAGGACCTGCCACCCTATGTCCCGTAAGAATTCCTTCCTCCCTTAGACCACACACACACACACACACACAGTTCCTTCCTTCTTTTCAAGACAGAATTAGCTCATGCCTGTAATCCTACTCAGAAGGCTGAGATGTGATAGTGGAGGTTCAAAGCCTGCCCTGGCAACAAGTGGCAAAGCTCCAGCCTGGAGTTAAAAAGCTAAGGGACAGGGCCCAGGCTGTGAGTTCAAGTCCCACGATCAGCACACACATGCATTCAGAAAACCAGTGGCCAAACTCCCAAGGGTTCTTTGTTCCAACCACCTGGCACCAAAAACCTAGATTTGAGTCTTAGCTCTTCCACAGGAACAAGTCACTCCAACCACCTTCAACACATTCCTTCCCTTAGCATGCAGGCAACACCCACCCACCTCCTGTAGTAGGTGGGAGATTAAATCACCTAAAGTTTGTAAGCTCCAACGTACAATCCAGACAGAAGGTGTTGCAATCCAGTGCAATTGAGTTAGCGGATGGAGAACCCCGGACCTCTGGTCCTGCTCATGACCACCCAGCCACCGCGGAGGACAGAGAGAGGGTTAGCACTGCAACCAAGTTTGCCCTTGGGCTCTGGTTGCAATATCTGGACAGGTAAGAGTGAGGAGCGACATGAGGGTGCCTGAGCAATGCACCGGAACGCTCTCCTGTTCTTTGGGCTGGGAAAGGGGAGATGGATGCCCTTGGGAATGCTCCATTTAACACGGCCCCTTCAGGTGCAAGCGGAGCTCGTATGAACCCAGAGACAGTAAAGGAAGGAGACAACATGGGAACGTGTGACCCTCCCAGGGCGCTGGAGAGGGAGGCATGTAATCCCCTCCCTGACCCACCGTGACACTCGCGCTACAGTCACAACCTTTATTACGGGTGAGAACTTCGCTACAACTTTGGGAATAAAAAGTAAAATTACAACATAGGTCCGAGGCCCCAAAGGGGGCCTGAAAAACTGGGAAGGAAGAGACGAGGGTCCTCCCAGAAAAGGTGCAGAAAGAACCAGGCCTACCAAAGGGACGCAGGTCTCTCGTGGCTTAGGCCTTGGGATGTTTGGCATAAGAAATACTGTGAATTGAGCCAGGCATGGTGGCACACTCCTGAATCCCAGCTACTTTAGGAGGCAGAAGCAGGAGGATCATGAGTTCAGGACCACCCCAGGCAAATCAGTAATACCCTTTTTCAAAAACAAATACATACACAAGGGCTCTACTTCAACTAAGACACAGCATTTGTCTAGAACATAAGAGAGGCCCTGGGTTCAATCCCCCAGTACCACAAGAAAAAAAAAAGTGAACTTAAATATATCAATAAAAACAGACCTAAGTAAATAGGCCAGGTGCTCTCTGTTCCCTAACCCCCGGATCAACTAAGGTCTTGTCTCCTCCTCAGTCAGACCGGACAGAGACAGGGGAAGTCATCTTTGGAGTGTTTTGGTTTTTCTTATTTAGTTTATGTACAAAAGAAAAAGAAAATTTCTGCAGCCCAAAATAGAGTTCTCTGTTATCTGTGAAATTGCCTGACTCGATGTTGCCAACTGCGTGGCCAAATGGAACGGAATGAACATGAGAAGCATGGCTGGTCGGTTTGGTAGAGGGCACCTTGGGAAGAAGAGAAAGACCCCTCCCCCAACAGGCCATAGACAGGGGGATGGCTCTTCCCCCCAACTCATGGGCCCTCTACTTGCCTCCTTTGCCTAGTGAACATACCCCCTACCTAAAGGGCATTTCCAAAAATAGACCCCAATATCCTTAAAAAGGGGGTCAGTATTAACCCTTTGGGTATGGTGGGCCATGTTAGGCAGACATGAGCCCCAAACCAGGGGTCCATGTCGATCTGTCTGGCTTTTTGCCCAGCCCCCCCGAGCAGTTAGGGTGGCCAGGACACCAGGGCTGGGCCTCCACAGTATGTTCTCTCAATGTTCGGGGCAACGAAAGTTCCACAATCCTAAGAACTTAGTCCAGGGAGATGACGTCTGAGCGGCAGCCAGCCAGAGAGGGGGCTGAGGGCAGGGCGGCTCCATGTCCCTCCCTCAAGGCCCCCCCAGGAGCCACAATGCTGCTGACTCGGCCAGGAGGGGGTGCTGGAGTGGAGCTGCGGTGCGAGCTCCCCAACGTGGGGGCCAGTGGGCCCAGAAAGTGGGAAGGGGTCCCCCGGTACTGGAAGAAGTGGCCGAGGGTGTCCTGTTCATCTGTGGAGGTGATGACGGAAGGCCCATAGTGCTGGGGAGAAGGAAGGAAGGGCGCAGTTGAAACTTCTCCCTGGCGTGACCACGCCAAGTCTCTGACTCTGCCTTATTTCCCTGAACCCCTCCCCTTGCCCTGCCTTTCCACTGCCCAACAGCTCAGCTGGCTAGGTTTTTGGGGCCTCTAATATGTGTGGAATGTCCGGTTAGGGCAGGTGGGGGGGCAAGGAGGCGGGACAGCTATGCTGAAATGTCTTGACCAAACAGAGCTCAACACTAAAACTGTGAGTTGGAGGCGGAAGTACCGGAGGGAACTGAGCAAGAAAATATAGCTGCTACCCTACTGAAAAGCAGACTTAGGTCCCCAGAGTGGGGAGGGTACCATCAGAGCCTAGAAAGGAAGCTTCCAGTCTCAGATCTTCTGAGAAAAGTAGGCATTACTTACCTGACTTTCTGTCTGAAGGAAAGAAAATAAATCTAAACCTGGTAAGAAAAAAAAAAAATCAAAATCAGCCTCCTCTCTGACCCCTTCATCTCCTAAAACAAAAGTGCCCACGGGCCCTGCACTGGTGGCTCACGCCTGTAAACCCAGCAACTCAGGAGGCTGAGATCTGAGGGTCCCAGTTAGAAGCCAGCACCAGGCAAGAAAGTGAGACTCTTAAATTAACCACCAAAAGGCTGGAGATAAGAGCTCTGGCTCACATGGTAGAGTACCAGCCTTAAGTGGAAAAGCTACGGGCCAGTGCCCAGGCCCTGAGTTCAAGTCCTAAGATGGGCATACACCCTCTGTGCCTTTAGCTTTGGAAAGGAACAAGAGAGTTCGGGGCAAGGTGATACCTTGGATATCGGCCCCCAGGGGGAAGGCTGGTGGATAGTCATGTATCGGGAGACTGGACAAGAAGTCGCTGCCCAGGGTGCCTGCTGGGCTCCGCAGCACGGATGGCTGGTGACCAGGTGTCAGGACTCTGTGGACAGAAGATCTGGGAGGCTCGTGAACCACAGGTGCCCAAATCCACTCTCTGTCCCCTCCCTCTACCTTTCCCCTGCCTCCCAGCTCATCTTCTGCCATTTCCTCATACCCTTTGCTTCCAGGTAGGGCTGGGATGGCGGTCGAGGGGATAGGGCAGTGCTTTTTGGCAGGGGGCAGATCCTCCTCGTCAGATGAGCTTTCTATGGTCAGGTCAATCACTTCAACCTTCTTCTTGCTCTCTGGTGCATTTCCTTCTTGGACTGCGCTATACTGGAGGCCTAGGGATGTAAGAGGGCTGTGTCTCAGAAGAAGGGTCATCAAAGATGTAGCTTGGCTGGGGGACAGGGGGTCACTCACCATCCAGCCCATACCCTGGCGGGGGGCAAACCTCAGACGCCTCCTTTTTGGGTTTCATTGGACACCAGGATCCATCTTCCATGAACTGGATCTCCTCACAATCCGAACAGGAATTAAGAATCTCCATGAATAAACTAAGGGAGTGGCAAGACAGGGATTCATGAGTCTGGGAGATGGCCCCAGCAGTGGCCGTAGTCCTGCAATACCTCTCTTTACCTTATCTGTCAAGCAAGTACTACCCACACTACTAGATCTGAGTTGTCATGAGAATTAAGTGAAGGAAGAGCTGGGGAGTGTCACTGGGCAGCTAGAACACGTGCAGACCCAGCCTAAAGTAAAAAAGCCAAGTGAGAGTAGAGTAAAAGGCCATGAGTTCAAGACCCAGGACTTGCATAAAAAAGGGGATGGGGGAGAGGGGAAGCGTAGAGGATGTCACAGATAGAGAGGAGAATGTCCTTACCCATCAATAATAAGAGACTCGTAGGGAGCCTTCTTGTCACACACAGGGCAGGTCCAGGTTGGCTTCTTCTCATTCATCTGTAGATAGAGGGCGGCATCGAAGCTCTGCAAGTGGGCACAGGTGAGGGCCCGGCACGGGACGGTCAGCCGCATCTTCCCAAGCTGAGGAGAAGAGAGCACTCCAGTCACATCCCCACCAGGAGCCACGGTGAAACCCCTCTCAACAACTGACAGACACTTTAGAAAAGAAAGCTGGAGCCAGTGGCTCACACCAGTAATCCTAGCTACTCAAGAGGCTGAGATCTGAGGATCACAGTTCAAAGCCAGCAGGGAAGGCCAAGAGATTCTTTTCTCCAATAAACTACTCCGAAAAGGCCAGTAGCACTGTAGCTCAAGTGGGAGAGCACTAGCCTTGAGCGAAAGAAGCTCAGGGACAGTGTCCAGCCCCAGAGTTTAAGACCCTGAACCACCAAAAAAGAAAAAGAAAGAAATGATAGAGCCAGGCACTGGTGACTCACACCTGTAATTCTAGCTACTCAGGAGGCTGAGATCTGAGGATCACAGTTTGAAGCCAGCCCAGGCAGGAAAGTCTGTGAAACTCTTATCTCCAATAAACTACTCAGAAAAATCCAAAGTAAAGCTGTGGCTCAAGTGGTAGAGTGCTAGCCTTGAGCACAAAGAAACTCAGAGACAGCACCCAGGCCCTGAGTTCAAACCCCGGGACTGGCACCAAAAGAAAAAAAAAAGAATGCTAGGAAGGCAAGCCAATCTTGTCTGGGAGGGAGGGCTGATGGAGAAGGGGGAGGAGAATAAACACGGGCAAGACACTATGCATGAGTGTGAAAATGGCAGTGAAGCTTGCCGAGATTGGTTTGGGGCTGGGGTGAGGGAGAGCGCCATGGAGGCATGGTTTTGGAAGGAGAGGAGTCTGTTGCAGGGCACGACATATACACAGGGACGTGTCCACCTGAAACCCCTCGGAACATACATAAAAGCCCCACTGGTTCCGTTGTAGAGAACCTCCCTTGAGCGCTGCTAGGAACACTCATTGGAGTCCAGAGTCCCCCCACCCCTACCCCACTTCCCTTCCCCCGGTACCCACCGGGCACATGAGGGACACCCGGAGACTTGTCGTGGCCACTTCACTGTCAGGGTCAGCAGTCAACTTCTCCTTGACTGAAACAGAGGCAGAGCCAGGGCTGAGCACCCGCTGGGAGCATGTTTGGGGACCAGTGGGATGTAACACAGGGTAGAACTGGATTGGCAGAAAGGTGTAGAAGAAGGGACCCCATCCCCCACCCAGCATCCCTGAAGAGGCTTAAGATGGCTAAGAAAGGACCTGGAAGGAATGGAAGCATGTGAGGTTAGAAGGGCAATCCCTCGGCTCTCAGGGAAGGACCACCCTCGCCGGGGAGGGTGGGCTTCGGGTCTGGGAGGCAAGAAGCAGACAGACCCGACTGAAACAAGGCATCCTCGCTGACACCTCCAACACAAAGGGTGCAGACAAAGACAGGGAGCACGGAGTTTGTGTGACAGGAGGGAGGCTAGAGGCCCACCCTTGGGCGGCACCGGGGGAGGGAGGGGCGTTACTCACTCAGCGCCCGGGAGTGGTCTGGGTTCCGGATACCCTTTGCTCTGAGTTTTTGTAGAAGGGTCCCTGCGGTCAACTGCCTCACCAGGTACACAGACAAGGAGTAATTCTACTTGTGGGGGGCGGGGGAGGGAGGGGGAGAATTAGCCTCTGCTCCTCATACCACCCCCGTCCCCCTTTTGAATCACTAAGAGCAGACACGATGCGTCCCCATGGGGCCCTGGGTGACCTCCTTCTGCCCACGGCACACCCGGCCAGCCACTTCTTACAGCTTCACTCACCCTTCCAAACTCGGAGGACCAGTTGACCACGATGGTGTTGGGCACGGTGGCTGAGAGTCGAGCCAGGGCTGTGATGTTGATGGGGCGACTGGGCCTCTTGGGCTCAGCCCCGTTCTTGGTGGGGGGAAGATAGCCCTGGGGGAGGGGCAGGGTGGTGGTGGCACTGGTCAGTGGAGAGGGAGCTTGGCTCTCACAACAGCAGAAAGCCCTCAGCTTCCTCCCTCCCGGGAAGGCAGGCCAGTTCCCTCATGACCACACGCACAGGGGTGCACTTAGTGCTGCACGATGCTGGGGCACTAGCACCTAGGGGTGTGTGAGAGTTCACTCCTGGGGGAAAGGAGAGCTTCTTTATTGACTGAGGAATGAGGAACTCGTCCCTTCGTCCCTGAATGGGAGCAACAGCAACACTATCCCTGCTTCCAGCTCTGGGCTCATGATTTGTGTGTGTGTGCCAGTACTGGGACTTGAACTCAGGGCCTTGTGCTCTCTCGCTTGGCATTTTTTGCTCAAGGCTGGCATGCTACGGCTTGGATTTCTAAGAAGTCTTTTCTGACCCTTTGGACTGACCACATCTCCCTCCTCTGGCTCTGACAGGAAAGTGTATTTGGCCCTATTTTAATACTCCCTTTCTACATGATATTGACTTACTCAAGAAACAGAGAATCTGCCGTGTGTCAACCCTGTGCTAGGTAGATCTCTTGGAACCAGAGCAGGGAAGGGTGACTACCAGAAGGGAAGACGTATTTACCGGCAGGGGGCACAGCTTCCCATTGACCTTGACAAAGAGGTTGGGGGGGAAATAATCCTCCTGGGGGCAGCTGGTCTCACAGAGGCAGAACCTGGCAAGAGAGAACAGACAAAGAGAGGGAGGGAGGCAGCTCTATTTGTTTTGTTGTTGTGCCAGTACTTTGGAGGGTTTGAACTCAGGGCCTTGCACTCTTGTTTGGCTCTTCTTTCAAGGCTGACACACTACCACTTGAGCCACACCTCCACTTCCAGCTTTTTGCTGGAAGATCACTGGAGATAAGAGTCTCATTAAGACTTTTCTGTCCAGGCTGGCCTCAAACCAGGATCTTCAGAGGTCAGCCTCTGGAGCAGACAGGATGACAGGAGCAAGCCACTGACACCGCCCGCTGAGACACAAAGGCAGGGGACTCAGGAAACCCATTCCTAGATAACTGAAGCCCTCGGCGTCAGGTAGGCACAGGGCTGGCATGAGCGTGGCAAAGTACCCACCACACCCCGGTTTCATTCCCTCTCTCCTTTAAAGGGAGCCTCACAGGGAAGAAGGAAAAGCAACTCACCTTAGCTGCACCTGGATGGTGTAATCGCATTTGGCTCCTGGCAGAACCTCTCTGAAGCAGGGAGGGAAAAAGAGAGATATTAGAATATGGCCTTCAGAGGGTGAGCAGGGTGAGTAGGCACAAAGAAGTCCACACCAGGTACTGGCGGCTCCCACCTATTATCCTAGCTACTCAGGAAGCTGAGATCTGAGGATCCTAGTTCAAAGTCGACCTGAGCAGAAAAGTCTATGATAAACTGTTATCTCCAATTAACCAGCAAAAAGCCGGAAGTAGAGGTGTAGTTCTGGTAGAGTGTCAGTCTTGAGTGAAAAAGCCAAATGGAGTGTGAGGCCTGAGTTCAAGCCTCAGTATTGGCATGTGCATGCTTGTGTATACACATACACACACACACACACACAGAGCTAAACATCCAAAAGACTGAGAAAAAAGAGACATGTGAGTGAGAGGCAAAGCAGGGGTATGGGAGTAGGGAGGGAGGACGGGAGGAGGGAAAGGAAAGTGAGGCGACGGAGTGAAGGGAAGCACCCAGGAGGGTGCAGAAGACAGAAGGAGACGCACCTGGATGTGAGAATCTGCTGCACTTGTTGGGGTGTGAGCGCAAAGGTGAAGTGTGCTTCCTCAAACCGCTGGCTAGAAGTAGAGGCTAAAGACACAAAACATGGTTATTCCAAGCCTGCGCAAGGCAGCTACCCTAGATTGCTCATCCCCGAGGACTAACACCAAAGAGAGGAGTCCAACCAAGCTGGAGTCTAGCTGGGCACTGGTGGTTCACACCTATAGTCCTTAGCTAATCAGGAGGCTGAGATCTGATGAGGATCACGATTCAAAACCAACCTGGGCAGCAAAGTCTATGAGATTCTTATTTCCAATTAATCACCAAAAAGCCAAGAAGTGAAGATGTGGCTCAAGTGGTAGAACACCAGCCTTGAGTGAAAAACCTAAGGGACAATGCCCAGGCCCTGAGTTGGGGCCTCAATACCAGCACCAAAAAATAAAACAACCCTGGCATTTTAGAAAGACTGAGGGACTGCAGAGCGCCATACCGAGGGTGGTCGGCCGGATGAGCTCCCCGTAGACTTCATAGAAGGGCAACGGTTTCATGGTGACATCAGGGTGTACAGGCTGGGGCAAAGGGGGGTGGAGATCCACCTCCCGCTTGGGGCCCAGTAAGGTGCCAGGGGTCAGGAGAGCAGGGGGGATGGGTGCCAGAGGGCCGGGAGAGCCGACAGGAGAGGAGCCAGGGGGCAGGGAGAGCAGGGAGAGGTCGGAGGGCCCCAGCGGCTTCCGGGGGAAGCGCCGGCGGTACAGCTCCTTGATTTTCATCTGGACGCTGGGGGCGCAGCTGGACTTGAGGAGGTGCAAGGCCTTGGCCAGGAGCTCGTGCTTGCGTCCACTCTTGTTCCGGCCAGCAAAGCCAAGGAGAACCTGGAGCTCAGACACGCGGAAGCTCATCACCATGTGCTGTAGAAGAAGAGAACAGCTTGAGAATCCCCCTAACACTGGTGGGCCTGGCCAAGGGGACACGGCAAGTACCATGCCAGCCCCCTCTGGCCCACCTCACCAGCACCTCTCAGCGCTTACCAGGACTTCTCATGTCTGGAAGCTGGCCAAAGGGAGAGAAGAGGGCAGAGAGCAGGCCACAGACAGCAGGCCCCCCTAACCAGGACTCTCATACATAATCGGATTATCTGTCCCCTCCCTCCTCCTGCCAGACCCTCAGATTCAACCCAGCCTCCAGTGAAGAGAAAAGAAGAGACCAGAGACAGAAGGAAGAGAGGATTCAGGCCAGACAGCCCCACAGGGAAGAACGGGAACAGATGGCTGGAGCATCACGTCCTCAGACCACCCCCTCCCAACCGCCTCCATTTACCCCGGGGTTTCCCCAAGCTTCAAGCTTTTGGGGCCATGTTTGGTTGTTGCTTTGTTTTGAACTCAGGACTTGGTGTCTGCTATGTAGGTACTCTACCACTCCAGCCACACCCCCCAAACTTCCTTAAATTTGTTTTTCCGTGAGTCTCATCTTTGTGTGTCCTCATTCTAGTGCTGCTCCACAGCTGTAACTACAGAGGCTCACCACCACGCATTCCCGCCAACCCTCCGAGCTGGCCTCCAACCTCCATCCTCCTCACATCGGCCTGCATCACAAGTGGATAGGACTACAGTCAGGAGCCTCCCTGCCTAGGGTATGGCCAGGGTTTGTAGGTCAGAGTTCAATTCCCCTAACTCCCCCAAATCCTTTCTTGCCCTCATTTATAGAACCACTCTCAGTCCTATTTTTCTGGAAGGGTAACAGGCTAAAAACTCATAGGGAAGATCATTAGTTCATGTACGCTGAATAAATCTGGCAAGAACTACTTTCCTGCTTCTCCTCCATGAAGAAAATCACACACACACACACACACACACACAAGGTAGAGAGGCAGAGTTCTCAACGAATGAGGACAATGCTGGGCCAAGACAACAGCATCAAAAGTTCCTCCGGCCCGGCAACAGTGACACACCTGTAATCCCAGCTACTCAGGAGGCTGAGCTCTGAGGACTGGGGTTCAAGGCCATCTCAGGCAGGAAATTCCATGAGACTCATCTCCAGTTAGCCACCAAAGAGCCAAAAGTGGAGCTGTGGCTCAAGTGGTAGAGCACTAAATAGCCTTGAACACAAAAGCTCAGGGACAACACCCAGGCCCAGAGTTCAAAGCCTAGGACAGGCACCTACCCGCCCCCCCCCAAAAAAAAAGAAAGAAAAAAAGCTCCTTCAAAGGGGTTGGACAAGCACCAGGGACTATATGGAAAGCAAAGATCTGAGGATCCTGATTATAGCTAGCTGGGTAGGAAAGTCTGCACAACTTATCTCCAATTAACTACCAACAATCACAAAATAGAGCTGTGGCCCGAAGTGGTAGAGCACTAGCCTTGAGTTAAGGGCCCAAGTTAAGGGCGCAGGCCCTCAGCTCAAGCCCCCATACTAATAAATGGCCTGGGCCCAATGGGTTGACCTCACTGCTGCCAGGTGCCACAGCAGAACTTCAAAGGATGGGTCAGAGGCAAGAGGCAAGAGGCAAGAGGCAGGGGGAGGAACCAGTGACTTGAGACTCTGGGCCATGTCCTCTGAGTGCTTCCCTCAGCCCTGTGGTGGTGGTGGGAAGTCCCTCCTGACTCTCTAGGAAACCGTGTCATAGGCAGGCCCAGCCAGTCCTCCACTGGAGGCTTCAGCATGGACGTGGGGGTGGGCACACGTGCGTGAGCAAGGGCTTATACTGAGGCTTGAACTCAGGACCTGGGTGCAGTCCCACAGCTCCAGGCTGGCACTCTACCATTTGAGCCCACACTCCACTTCCAGCCTTTTGATGGTTATTTGGAAATAAAGAATATCATGGTCTTCCCTGCCTGGGCAGCTTTGAACCACCATCCTCAGATCTCAGGAGTTCCACCCACCTTTTGAAGAATGAGCTTCCCCTTAGTACCTCTAATTCCTCTCTGCTGATACCTGGGGCCTCCTTACCGCCCGGGTACCAGCTCTCCAGAGACCAGAGGCAGGACTGGTTCCTCTCCATCTGCAGGACCCCCGTCCACCAAGTCTCAGCCACCCACTGGCACTGTCCAGGGCACCGGTGCAGCTCCAAGTCTCTGCTGCCTCCCTCCCACCTGCCTGCCTCCCTCACACGTACCCCAGTTCCTCACTGGCACATTTGGCCCATGCTCTCCCCCCTACCACACCACGGGGTCCCTACAAGCACCCCTACTCCAGGGCTGGCCTCCGCCCACCCTCCCTGCAGCCTTGTGCCTGGGCCCCCCACAATGGCTTCTCCTCTGAGAGCCACCAACCCTGCACACCCCTGCAACGGAGGTCCCGGCCCCGCCCCCTCCCACCAGCAGCTCCCGACTCCTCCTACCCCTGCACACACACCCCTGCACCTGCCCGACAGCGGCTCCCCAGA